GAAAAGGTGAGCTGTGGTGTACTAGACAACTTAAATACTTCTAAGAGTTGTTGCATTGAGTGTCTGCTTTAAACACATGTTACCCCAGCACAGTTTGCATGGTTAAGGGCTTTTTGACATAAGGTTGGCTTTCTTTGGATGATGCTTCTCCATCAGTGTACTATTATATTTCTTAGGGCTTTGCTCAGGATATAAACTTTGTTTTTGCTGCTAATGATTAGAGATACATTCTTGTGATATTCTAAATAGAGGCACCTGTGGCACTTAATGTGTGAATATTGTTAAGCGTGTGATGAGCTTTATAGGGTCATTCTGATCACTGATACAAATAATACTTTAATAGCTTTCTCTTCTTAGAAACAGAAGTAAAAATACTTTTTGGGCCCATTCTCCCTTTCCTGTCCATATACTTCTTAGTCTCCTCCTTAGTATAGCAAAATATCTAGGAAAAGTTTTCTGTATTCTGCATTTCTGCTTTGTCACAACCCAGCCACTGTAATTCAAGCATTCTAGTCTCACTTTTACTTCTCAGTTTTGCTCTTGTACGCCTCCATTACCATATCGTTATCAGTGATGATTTTGAAACATAAGTCATCCTGTTTGAAATCAGTCTTGAACCCAGGCATAGTGGAGCACACCTGTGACCCCAGAACTCTGGGAGCCTGAGCAACTTAGTGAGACCTTGTCTTAAAATAAAAAATAAAAAGGGCTAGGGATGTAGCTCAGTGCAGACCTTGGGTTCAATCCTCACTACTACAAAAACAAATATACAAACAACAACAAAATGTTTCCCAACCTATTTGGTTTAAATAGGTATCACCAAAGTGGCAGGATAAGAGATACCACCCTTCATTCTGCAAAAAACAAATATAGACAGCTGTTCACAAACCAAAATAGCCCTGGTTCAGGATGGGTCCCAGCATCAGTATTTTTAAAAAGCTGCCTAGATACTCTGATTGCCAGTAATGCTTTAGGGGCTTATAATGACAGCTCTGCTGTCAGAGCTCCTGCCTTGCTCCCTGACGCTATCTCCTGCCGGTCTCTTTACCTCTGTATGCAAGCTGACCTCCAAGGTGGTGGGACTGTCCAGCACTGTCTAGCACTAGAGCAGGGCCTTCTTGCACATGCTTCAACAACTCTTTGTTAAATTCATGAGTATTCTTACAGATGCTGTTTGGTACTCTGTAGTGGTAATTAGTCTACAACTAATGTTGACTGGATTGGTAATGTGTTGAGTCTTGAAAAATGTTACCAAAAATGTACTGTTTGTACTACTTGTGTCCCAGACTCCCGCAGTCTATCCTCTGTCCGTCTTCCAAAACTGTCTTCTACTTTGCTGTCCGAATGCCTGCCTTTCTGTTTTTGTCTCTTGTCATCAGCAATACTGATACTTCTGATTTTTTTTTCTCGTGTCCTGTTTGTGGTTTTATTTTGTGTAATTTTTTCTTCCTATTTCTTGTAGATAAAAAAGACAGGTCTTACTAGTGTTGCCAGTCAGTAGAGAGCCTCTTTCTACCCTTCAGTGGGTAGAAGAACCACTCATTGGGTGTCTACTGCATAATCTTTGGGTCATATGCCCTTCTTTGTGTAGCCTTGCTGGGTGGGCTGCTCCTTCAGTGAAAAACCCAGGTAGAATTGATAGCCAGTCAGGTTTTAAAGGAAGAGATGAGTGATCCTTTTGTGGTTCATACAATGTGATGACTGGGTTTCTGCATCTGCACCACTGTGACAGGTGCCTCTCTCAGACTGTTGGAAAGACTTGGGCATGTTACCTACCAGGCGTGGGGGTGAACGTCATGGAAGATCTGCTTTTCTGAGGTCAGAGTTTGAAACTTAATTGGCGGATGATAGAGATTTATTGCTTTGTTATCTGATTAAAATTAAGTGCAAGATAATATTGTTTAGAGCAGGTAAATTTAACTTAAAGACACTAGGTATTTGGGGCTCTGGCACACACTGATGTTGTAGTGTAAGGGTAGAGCCGATACCTGGACAGATGAATGTGGCCATATTTCATAAAACTCATCTGAAATTTGAATTGTATATAAAAGTTACATAAAATTTATTCTTCTTTTGATCTATGCCTCCTAACCATTTAAAAATATTTAAAAAACATTCTTAGTTTACAAGCCATGCAAAGACAGGCAGAAGGCAGGATTTGGTCCTTGGGCCATTTATAGTTTGTCATCCTTTGGCTAACAGGAATGGCATCTATTTGTGTTTGGACTTGAGAAATCAGTTCTTGACCATTAGTGTACTGTAACTTCAGTGATTGGTAGCAAATTGCCTCTTTATCAAAAGTTATCTGTAACTTTTATTATTTCAAAGAGTTCCTTATCAGGTTAGTGTTTTTCTTCTGTGTTTTAATACCTACTGTTGGACCACATTGTTTGAGTTTGTCCTTTATTATGTCTTTACAGCATTGCTTTGCTTCTGCCCTGCTACTACTGTGAAACAGCTGTGCCCCCTGCATGCGCGCGCGCACGCACACACACACACACACACACTCTTCTTTCAGGCTTGTAACAGGTGCTGTTAAGGCCCCCTTCCCACCACACACAGTTTACCTGCCCCTGTGGTGGACACTGCCCTAACATAGGACAGCTTTTTCTGAAGCAAGGGGCTTTCTGCGCTCACTGTGCCTGAGGGCGCGCCACCAGCCCTTGTGCTGGCAGCCAGGAAGTGCTGAGAATGTAATAGCTGTAGAGGTAACCCTTAACCAAGAAGCAGAGAAATGTCCAGTGGCCTCTCTCCGTGCTGGTCCATTTTTTATTTTAATTAGTCCATGTTTGCAGTACATAATGATTACTTTCATCGTAGGGAGTTGGTGCATGTACATAACACATCTTTCTGCATCTCCATGCTGAACATGATTTCTCAGAAGGACTGAACCCCAGATGTCCACAGCAGTTAATGGGCTCTTGTTGCCTCTTCTCCCTCCATTGTGTTGCTTTTACTGATCCTCTCAAGTGTGCTTCTTGGGATCCCCCTCACCCCAAGTAAGCTATTTACACCAAATTCTTATCTCGGGGTTGCCTTTTGGGGAAACCCAAATGATGTAAATCAGTGCTTTTGGGCTCAAACTGTTAATACTTTCCCTCCCTTTGTCACTTTCCAGAAATCTGTTGTGTAGTTTCCCTAATGGTAATATTGATATTGGAGGACAGCAGAAGTGACTAGATGGAAGTGTGGGGAAGAAAGGCTTGTACATCTATCTACCTACCAATAATTCAGTTCATCTCAGTGCTGTTCAGTTATCCTTTGCATGTTACTTTTTTCTGCACTTGGTTCTCTGTTCCTGAAAAGGAACATGTGTGACCAGTTACTTCATTGTATATGAAAAGGTTTCAACCTTGGCTCTGTTCTGTAAGCTGGTTTGGAACGTGTTACTTCCAGCAGGTGGATTCAGTTGGCAAATTCTGAGCTGGAAAATAAAGATACAGGGTACTACATACATTAAGTATCACAAGTAGGTTAGTAGCTGTAAAATGGCAATGGTGCTTTCGGATTCAAACTTCAAATGACATAATTGGATGAAGTTGCCAAAGAGAAAACAAATACTGAAATTCCAAAATGGCAGTATAATCACAAGTAGCTCTAATTTTCTCCTGAAAGTACTTGCTGATTAAATTTTTTTAAATGTCTGGGGAATTAAAATCTTTTTCTACTTGTGATGTGTTTCTTTCTTAATGAGTTCAATTATATCAAGAAAAAATTATATTTCTATTATATAGAAAAAGTATAAAAATCTAGGGATATAATCAATGTGAAAAATTTGACTTTTACATATACATCAGTTGTGTGTGTTAACATTCCAGAATAATTATACTTTTAAATATCTTAAAGTTAATAAACTCATTTCTGAAGGTATGATTCTATTAAAATTAGCGTTATACTAAAGCAGGGCAATAGTTCTTTTTTTTTTTTTGGTACTGGGGATCAAACTCGGGACCTTGCGCTTGTGAGGCAGGCGCCGGAACCACTGAGCTAAATCCCTGGCCCGGGCAATAGTTCTTTTACTGTGAGAAAGTTATTCTCCCAAGTTTTTCCTCCTAGTACATTTCTTCGGGTCTTTTGTTGTTTTGTTTTCATACCACTTCTCTTTTTTGGCATTTATTAAGTTTAATAATTAATTGGTCTAAGAAGTCTTATAGTGTTACTTTAGCTGAGGTTGGATTTTATTTCTGTGAGGTTTACCATGATCTGCCTTATCTGAGTGTAGCCAAATGTTGTGTAAATTACCTTCCTTTCATTATTTGGCTTCTTTTAATTGGATGAAACTATTAGTTTAACACATATTAATGTTTTCTGTTATACTTGTACCAAAATATGTTTAGGGAAAAAAGTCAGACAGTGTGACTTTTGAAGTTACTTTCTTGGGATATGTTTGGGAAGACGTGATTGGTATGTAGGTTTTGTTTTTGCCTGTTTTTCAGAGCTCTCTCTTAGAAGAGAGGGCTGCTCATGAGTCTTTGCTTCTCCACGCTCCTCTTTACCTAGAATGTTGCGTTTTGTTCACTTGGGTTTCCTGTCTTGCTTTTCACCTTCCTTAACTCACCATACCACATTTCTACAGCCTCACAAACTACAGCTTTTTCATCTATTTTATCGCCAGAATGTTACTGTCCATTCTTCAAGGCAGAGCTTGAATCCTACCAACTCTGCTTTTTTAAATTAATCCTTATAATTGTACCCTCTATTTGTACTCTGAAAACGTGGAGCACTTACTCTGTCATTCATCTTCTCGATTTGTATTGAACTCCAGCATGATTAGTTAACTTTGTGTGTTCTGCCTGAGTTACCTTGTACTCTGGGCTTCTTAGGGCAGATAATGTGTTTTCTCAGCTGTTTGCATTTCTTTTGCACCTCTCATGTTACAGCAGTTAGTATCTATTATTTGTATTAAATACCCAGTTTAGTTTTCTGTGTTTAATTTCTCTCCGGTACTCTTGATTTTTTTTTTTAAAGAGCTTTGTTTGTTTATTGTTTGTTTTTTATAGACGTAAAAAAGGATTGGTCCGATCATGCTCTGTGGTGGGAAAAAAAGAGAACTTGGCTGCTTAAGACGCATTGGACCCTGGATAAGTACGGGATTCAGGCAGATGCCAAGCTTCAGTTTACGCCCCAGCATAAACTGCTCCGCCTGCAACTTCCCAACATGAAGTATGTGAAGGTGAAAGTGAATTTCTCAGATAGAGTCTTCAAAGCGGTTTCTGACATCTGTAAGACTTTCAGTAAGTATTAAATTCTTCCTTAAAATATCACTTCTGAGATGTATGTATGATGATTGGCATGTACCATAACTTATCTCTAGGGGTGGGGATTAGGGTAAACTATGTACAGTTATTTGAAATTTATACTTTATTATTTAAATTTTTTAAATAATTTAAGATAAATGTTGAGGCCTGGCATGGTGGCTCATCTCTAACCCCAGCTACTCAAGAGCCTGAGACAAGAGGATTGCAAGTTTGAGGCCAGCTTGAGCAACCTACAGAGACCCTGTCTCAAAATAAAAATTAAATATTAAAATTTAAAAATAGGTCTAGGGATGTGCTCAGTGGTAGTGCACTGGCCTACCATGTGCAAGGCCCTGGTTCAATCCCCAGTACCCCCACCAAAAGGAAAAAAAGGGGAAGAGAAAGAGAGAGTGAGAGAGGAAGAAGAAATATCGGGTCATAGTAGAACAAGAGGAATCTAGGAGAGATTTTTTTTTTTTTCCTTACTAGAATTGTACTAGATGTTTATTTATTTATTTTGGTATGGGGATTGAACTCGGGACCTTGCGCTTGTGAGGCAGGCAGCGGCAACACTGAGCTAAATCCCCAACCCGATGTTTATTGTATAATACTTTTTCTGATGACTTTATTTTATGGAAAGGGGAAAGGAACAGGAATTTTCAGAGGAATGTGGCTTTTGCACTGTTTCCTTTACTAAGTCACTGTTTGAGTTTAGTAATTTGGGGAGGTTGTGTCACTTCCTTCATTGAAGGCCTGACTCAGCTCCTAAGGAAATCCCGTGAGTGCTGTCTTCCTTAGCTGGTCTCCAATTTGGCCACTCCAGTCATAGTTCTATTGAGGGTTTCTGAAATGAGATGTAGATTACTTTTGGCTGACCCAGTGAGGTCATATGACAGGAAGTATTCGGCCATCAGAGAAGATGTGAACTATTGTCATCACCAGTAGTGATAGTACATAACTATTGGATTTGTTCCTTTTTAAAAATTCTTGGTTCAAGGTACCTTTAATTTTTTAATATTTTAATTACAAATGGAACTATAGCTTTTTAGGCATGTTTTACTCAAATTAAGAATTTACCAATTTGAATTGAAATTCATACCAAGTAATTGAAAACCATGTCCATCTGTCCATTTTTTTCTTTTGTTTCTTTGCTTGTTTTTTGTTGTTGTTTTTTGGTACCAGGGATCAAACTCAGGACCTTGCGCTTGCGAGGCAGGCACCAGAACCACCTAGTTTCAGTTTTTGCAATTGATTTCTATAAGTTCTTTATAAATTTTAATTATTTGGAAGCTATATGTGTTGCAAATAATTTCTCCCATGTGTTTGTTGCTTTTAATATTTGTTCATGATTTGTTTTTGTTTGGGTTTTTTTTTCGTCCTTTGGGTCATATTAAAGTTATTAGTTTATGTTTTTGTTATATGGTTAAAGAAAGCTTTTCCTTCCCTAAATTGTAGGCATCATCTATATTTTCTTCTAAGAGTTTAAAGTTTTAATTTTTATGTTTAGTTCTTTAATCTACTTAAAATATACATTTGTGTATTTTGTGAGGTAGATATTTAGGGGTTTTTTTGTTTTATTTTGGTACCAGAGATCGAACTCAGGACCTTGCGCTTGCAAGGCAGGTGGCAGAACCACTGAGCTAAATCCCCAGCCCTTTTTTTTTTTTTTTTTTTAATGTCATGGTAGGCATCAAACCCAGAGTCTTCTGCAGGCTAGGCAAGCGGTCTTACACACCCAGTCCTAGGGTATCTATTTTGAATGAAAACCTAGCCAACGCTGTTTATTTAATTACTCTTTTTTCATGTGTTATGTCAACTCTGTCATACATCACAGTTTCATATTGCATGAGTCTCTATTTCTATTGGTCCATTTATATGTTCTTAAGTGAATACCACACTAAATTTTTCCAGCTTTATAATGAATATGTATATTTACTAGGGCTAGTACCCTTGTTGTTTCTCAGAATTGCCTGGTTGTTTTGGGCATTGTATATTTCCATATGAAATTTGAATATCTGTTAATTTTCAGGGGGAAAATTCATAGTGGTTGATTGTAAGTGCATTCAGTATGTACACTAAAATAGATTTTGTATAGACTTTCCATCTATGAATAAAACCTATCCATTTGTTGATGTGATCTTTTAGTAATATTTTATCTAGAAAGACAGTATCTTTTTTAGTAAGATTTATTCCTGTATGCTTTATAATTTTTCAAATTGGATATTACTGTTAGGAATGCTGTTGATTTTTTCTTACAATTTTGTATCTAATACCTTGGTGAACTTTTATAAATTCTAGTAATTCACTAATTTTCTTGGACTTTTTATGTAAGTAATCACATCCTTTGTAAAAAGTAATTTTCTCCTCTTCTGTTCCCTTTTTGGTAAATTTTACTCTTTCTCTTATTGTATTGGTTAGACATCTAGTACTAAATAATAGCAGTAAAAATAAATATTGTTGTATTATTCCTAACTTGAGTTTAAAGTTTGTTGTATTGGGGAGTTTTAACTTATGAATACATTTAAAATTTTAATTAAATGGAGCTCAGGGAGTAACTTGCCCAAGGTAATATAGAAAGTGACAAGAACTAATTTAAGAGCTTTTTTGCCTTAATATAACTCAGACTTCCATCTTCATTGGCCACATGATGTCATCAGATCGCAGTAGATTTTTTTCTTTTTCTTTCTTTCTTTCTTTTTTTTTTTTTTGGTACCAGGGATCGAACTCGGGTCCTTGCGCTTGCACAGCAGGCGGTGAAACCACTGAGCTAAATCCCCAGCCCTTTTTTTCTAAAAATGACTTCTGCATTAGTCCCTCATCCCACACACTATTTTATAGATGGAAATGAGCTAGATTTTCAACTTGTTACACCTATATCACTTACTGGCCCTTTCTAAATACACTTGTAGTGGGTGTTTGTCTATTATTGTTATTACTATTTTGGGCTCCCTAAACATCTGAACTTCTGGCCTTGTGTCATGAAAATTTCATAACTCATGAGCTTTTGGGCAAGACAGTTAACATCCCTGTTCAGAAACCAAAAAGAAGATAATTTTTCCTACCCCATCCCCAGCTCAGGTTGGAACAGTTGACCAGGTAACTTAGGAATGTTGAGGCAGAAGGACTACAAATTCAAGACACACCTGGAGAACTTTTATCTTTGTCTCAGAATAAAAGGAAATTTTTAAAGGGTGGGGGACGTAGTTCAGTTTTAGATCGCCCCTAGGTTGGATTCCCCAGTATTGCAAAAAAGAAAAGAAAATTCTATAACTTTGAGTCAGGAAGTAGTGACTCAAATGAGCTCATTCTGTTGGCAGATTGGCAGCTGTTTCTGTCTTCGGAGGATGGAGTAGCTGTAGCTCCAGTGAGAGCTGTCTGTACATAGAGCACATTGGCCTCTTTATCCTGAGGTCTCTGGTGATGTTACCGCTTTGTATTTGCAAAGTTGAAAACTAGATTACAAGAAGATGATACATACTATATATCTAGATGGTATCCCTTCTGTGCTTAATATCTGCATGGAGATAAGATTGGGAGAAGTTTCACTAAAATGTTGACAGGTGAAATTTCAAATATGCTCTTATTTTCAATTCTTGTAATTTAGGAATTATTTGCTGCTGTTAAAACAGTGTGTTGTATTTGTATAAACTGGGAAAGAAAGCTGTTTTTCATTTGAAACAAAAACACTTTCATCTTTAAATGTTTGTATTTAAGAATCTAAACTTTTTAAAGCCAGAACCTTGTCATTCTGTCATATTCTTAGCATAGGGCATGGACTTAGAGAATATTAACTGAATGAATAAGAAGAACAAATGATGAAATCATTGGATAAATTAGGATCGGTTAATCCTATCACTGGGATTGTATGGAAGATAGTGATCTATTATAGGATGTTCAGGGGTTTCTGCTTCACTCGAAGATTAAATTATATTCCCTCTATAAACAGTCCCTCTTACCCCCTATGCTGGGAGTTGAACCCAGAGCCTTGCTCATGATAGGCAAGTGCTTTAGCATTGAGCTCTCTCCTCAGCTCTCCTCTAAACAGCTCTGACAGTCAGGAGTCAGTGAGTTATCAGTATTCATATATAGAAATTGGATAGGCTGCAGGATTGAACAATCTTCCTACAGAAAACAAGAAGAGTAATGAGTGATCATTTTATTTGTAGATATATTTCAAAAATGCTCTCAGAACTAAGATACTTGAGTATGAAAGTATCCAAAACAAAAGAAATTGGGCTTTATAAAATGATAATTTCTACATGAAGGAGTAGGTACCAAAGACACAGGTTTCAAAATCTAAGCGGTACATAAAATATAGATGCTCACAGTTTAATGAGAGCCTAAGTGAGTATTTGACATGTGAAAAAAGATAGATTTCTTTGGATGCTGATAACACAACAAGTAAGGGTTTCATGTGAGAGGACTAGGCTTTGTGCTGTTGGTCTCCTTAGTGTCATGGAGAATTTCAGAATAGGGTAAGAGTGCAGCTAACAGATTAGGGGTCCCGAGACAGTGGCCATTTGGAGGAAACTAGGAAGAAACTGAGGCATAAAGAGCCAACTAAGTAGCTAAAGTTGAGGTTTGGTTATAGAAATAAAACTGTTAATTGGCCTCAAACAATAATTTAGTAAATAATTATTTAATGTCTTTAATAAGTAATAATTTAACACTATTCTTTTTGCTGTAAAATATTCCTGAGAAATACCATAAAGTTTTTATGAATGCTAAGAAAGAGGGAGAGTATTTGATTTGTAAAGCAATTAAATCAGGTTAACATACCAGCCCACTGTCTTCTTTTGTACACTTTGTGTGCTAATTCTAATTAAAACTTGCTCGGGTGAGGTGGGGTGTTGGAAGCTGAACCCAGGGCCTCACACATGGTAGAGAAGCGCGCTTTAGCACTGAGCTACATCCTCATCCCTTTATAGTACAGTGGACCCCTGACTTATGAACTGGATTGGTTCCCAAGGGCTGGTTGGTTGTAAGTCAGTACAGCT